CAAACTGCAGCAAAAATAAAATTGTATAAAAAATAAAAAAGGATGTGGCCATATTCTCCAGATACATACAATTCAAAATAAACACTTTTTTTGTTATATAATACATAATAGGAATATTCATAGAAGGAAAAGCTGAAAACAAAATGAAATTACATTCAGAATATGGGCCCCAGTTATGGACACCACATTGCTAAAGAGACAGGAGTCCAGGGGTTTCTTGAGAGGTTTCAGAGGTGGGCAGCTAAATTAAAAAACAAATGGTTAACCTTTAATACACAAAAGACAAGGGAATATCAATTTTGTTTGAAAAGAAGATATTATATCACACAAAGTAGTAATGACGAGAATAGTGATAAAATCTATATGTTTGTTATATGTTCCTGTTCACCCAATATACCGAAAAATAACTTTAAAAAGTCTTACCTTTTAGATGTTTTGTTAAATCAGGCAAGATGGCTGATTCCAGATTTTTCTTAGCCCTTTCATAGTGGTCTGTCTTAATAGAAAGACTTGAGACTGAAATGTAAGGATTTTGTTTATCTTATAAGCTTCATTAACATACAGTGAACAAGCGACCTCAGACCCCTCAGCCCTCACAGCCCCTCCTAACATTTCAAAGAAATAGAAGCAAGAAGAAATTTTAACCCTTAAAACCCTAAGTTTTTTAGCTTATGATATGTGAATGGGAACATATAACATATATAAAATTGTTGTTATCCCCATTTGGCATCAAACGTGGAAATACACTTTAAGTGAAAGTAAAAGTAATGCATAATTTTCAGGCAACTAATATTCCAAGTTAAAATGACTAAAGGTTAAAAGAGCAATTTACGTTTTGCCTTCCTATGGCCCAAAGCAGCAGGAGCTGGGAGAAATGGAACTTAAGGTTCCTCTAGGGAGTTTTCACACATTTCCTGTCCTGGTGAAATTAAAGGGTAGACAGAGCAATTCAGACTGGTGGTGTTATTTTAAATAGCAAATTTTAATGCAGCAAAGGGCTGGACTAGGTGAAGATTGGTGATTTTAAGTCCATCTAAGGGATTTGTGTGAGATGGCAGTGTTAGGTCCAAAGGGATTCTGTGTGCAGGTGATCTTAGGTTTGATGGTATAGTGTTTTTGTGGGCTGTGGACATTAGCTCTGACAATGAGGGAGACTAGTGACTTTAGGTAAAAATGTGATTTGGTGGGGGCTGGTGAGCACCCCAGAAGAGGGGTGGTGGTTGTTAACTTTAGATATGAAAAGAGTATAGGCATATATGATGCCTTTTATTTTTCTACCAACATTCATGTACAGTATATTTTCTACAGAATCTACTGCTCTCAGCATATCTACCAACCTTGATATAATCTCTGACCTCTTTCTCTCTCATAAACTTTTCATTAATTTTCCAAGCATGTACAGAATATAATGCATAGCAAGGCCAGTGTGCTGACACAGCAGCCATAACAGTCAAGGACAAAAAAAGCATGAGCAAAACATATATGAGAACATGATGAGTATACAGTGTATGACCAAATAGGTAAAAACAGTAACATCTCAAGGTGTAGAGCATACCAGATCTTGCCATATCTCATAACAATCTGCAAAATCCAGTTACAGCATAGGAACAGACAGTGGAAATGTACAATCACCAACCTTCCCAAGCCACAATAAGGGTTGGGGAAGAAAAATCTACAATGTTCCCCAATAAGGGAAACACAAAACACAAAACTATCCAAAAAAAGGGTAAAAGGAGATGAAAAAATGGATTCGAGGGAAAGGTAAGAAAAGAAAGAAAACAGAAGGTCACAGGAGAAAAAGATAAGCAAGGGGTATTAAAAAGGTTCAAAGTAGAGATCAGGAGAAGAACAGAAGATTAGAGAAGTGGATGGTCGAGGGGGAGATAGCCCAAAAGATAATCATATGAAGTGAGGATGACACTGGGGTGGTATCAAAATATCTCTGACCTTTTTCAGTGTCTTCCTTCACATCTCTTACAACTGACTATGTCAAAGAAGGGGTAGTTGGAACTTTCATAGGCATGGGGCGCTGAAGCAGTCAAGAAGATATTCAGGAAATAGGATAACTTAAAAAAGTTAATAAGCTTAGTAAGCTATTGTTTTCCAAACTTCTTTTGGTGCATGTCTGTTGTGCACTTGATTTGTGCCAAATAAACAACATAGTGCGTCAATGTTAAGAGGGTTTTTGACATGTGCGGCATAAACTGAAAATTGCAAAAGGCAATTTGTCACAGTAATGTTGCAGTTTCTGCACTCTATCAACTAATAACTGCACTACAATGTAGCACAGATATTAGCTTCAGAGCTGCGCCTGGTCTTACCAGGTGAAGATCTTCACATTGGACTGAATCGCTCTGATCAGTGCCTGTACAGACACTTAACAGGGAGAATGAGCTGGGAAAAGCTGATGTCTTCACTCACTTGTCCCTCTGGCTAGCTGAGCAAAGGGGAGGAGGCAGCCTGCAGATTCCCTCTGATGGATGTATGGATGGAAGAGCACCCGAGGGAGCAGCCAGTGGGAGGCTCTGTGCTGCTCTGCTGCCTGCAGTGCTCCCTCCCCCAGTGTTAACCTCCTGATGGTAGGAGAGAAAGATAGTGAGTTACTATAGCTCACTGTATTCCTCCCTCCACAGTGACAGCACACCAGGTTTGCACTCTCACTGTAAAATAGGCTTCTACTAAACAGAGGTCCATGGCTGTGACAGAGCTGCATACATTTAGATTGGAAGTGCCACACAGTGATATTAAAGTCAAGATTTAAGTTTATTCCAATGCTACCTAAAGGAAGATTGTGCACAAAGGAAACACATTTTAAGGGCAGAAGACTCAACTCAATCCCTGATAAAGCCTCACTTTATCAGGGATTGAGACTGCTTTAACCAGCTGCTAGAGGACAACCTGCCACACTAAAAATATACTATATGAAATTTAATGGGGGTTCTTGCCGTCCCCCAAAAATTATATTTACTATTACTATGTAGTACTATAGTAAATAAATATTTATTATATTTACTAAAATACTCTAATATTTCTGTCTGTTTCACTGTTAGAGATTTTCAATTGCTTCCTGCCTGGTTACCAAGGAGCCCTGATTAGCAGTTAAAACCTGAAAGGGGTTCTGATCCTTCCCAACTCTATCCAAAACTAGAACAAAAAAAAGAAAAAAGTTGGATGGACATATACATTAAAGTAAAGTTCTGACAAAAATATATAGGCTACCAAATGCAAATAACACCCTTAGCCTCATAAAGATGCAATTTGTCTGGCTTTTGTAGAGAAACTCTAATATTTTCTAAGTCACTGAGTCAGAACATGTATGCAGTTATTGAAATCAGAGACAAGCCAGAAATCTTAAAGAGGAACTTTACCCATATCTTTAAAATAACAACAAAGCCACTTTTAGAAATGTTTAGTAATGACAATCTACAAACACATACTTCTAGATAATAGAAGGCTTTTATTTTTTGCATACCTTATTTTTCTTTTCCAGTCTTCTGACAGTGGCCATTTTAACTAAGGGCAGATTACTAGATCTCCCGTTAATTCCTGGAAGTCTGGCACGTGTGACTAGGACATGTGACCATGCACATCATCTCAGGGGAGGAAAATGCCTTTCCCTGAGATCTCGTGAGATTACAGATGAGATTTCCCAGTAATGTTCTCCTGACATAACCTTCCCAGGATGCAGTGCTTGTGCACATTACATCATTTGTGCCAAAGTGGACCAGGAAGTGGAAAAAATAAATTGTAAGTAAAATAAAAATATGTTTATTTACCTATTGAATGTAAGGTGATTTCATATCAGCATGCAGAGCTGTATACTGATGTGATTTTTAATCAAAGGGGGTAAAGGTCCACTTAAAACTACATACTTATGCTGGGACAGTAACTCCAAAGCCTTGAAGCAAGAAGGACTTGAATGACAGCCAGGCAACAGCAGTCTCTGTGTTTGTTAGCATGACAGGTTTCAAACCTCCAAAGCTTCTGAGATAAAATAAAAGGACCCCTTTTGGCACCACATATTTAGGCAAAGGATGCACCATGGTACACTCCCTGAGTACACAGACAATGGCAATTAAAGAGCAAGAATATAATTTAAACCCACTTGGGCTTTTCACTCTACTTTTTCTTTATATAGGTGTTAGGAAATAATCCATGAAACAATCATATTTCTACACTAGAATCAAAAGAGGGACCATAGAGGAAGCATGGGAAACTAAATGATTTGGTACAAAAAAGAGGGACAATTCCAGTTGAGAACTATGAGATTGCTTGAGGTTAAAGCTGTTAATATAATATTCATCAAACGTTTAGTGCAAGCATATCTTCCTGGAGCATGTGTTATAAATTACAGTGATTGTTTCACCTGCAGTGAATGTTTAGTGAATGTCACAAGAGCAACACTGCAAAACAAAATACTGTACCTAATATCAAGTAAATGTTAGTGTATGCCAGTCAGATGACAGAATAATGGATTCTGGTTATTTGTATGGGTACTTCTCACTTTGCTGTTTGCCTTACTAAATAAGCCTGTTTAACTCTGAAATAGAAATGGAATTATATGATTGCATTAAACATAAGCTGAATGACTGAATGGCAGTGGAGTTCACAAAGTATAAAAAAAACAATTTTCCTAACAAATATGAAAATGTGCAAAGTACAAATGTTTTAAATGTAATTTCCATAGAACATGTCTCAAATGCATTTGCCCATAATGTGCATCACCAGGCACTACTTGGCAGATAAATAATTTTAGTGACAAGGTGAAATTTTCAATGAGCTCTCACAGCTTGATAAGTCATTTTAATTACTATGTGATGCATATTTAAGTGACAGCAGTTTGTTGGAAGCTTCAGGCAGAAACATGGTAAATTTGCAGGGTTGCTTAGTTGACACGCTGCGCCAAAAGAATAAATCATTAATAGTTTATGTACCTCTTATGAATTTTACTTGCAAATTTCACCTTAAACAAAAAAAAATATTTATGTTTGTATTCGCAGAGATCCTTCTGTAGCGCCATGGTGGAGGAATTAAGGATGTCACTAAAATGCCAGCGACGGTTGAAACATAAACCGCAGCCTCCTGTAATAGTGAAAACAGAAGAAGTCATCAACATGCATACATTTAATGACAGAAGATTGCCAGGAAAAGAAACAATGGCATAGAGCTGGGTGTCAGGCATCCCCGAGCACAAACTGTCAGCTTTTTGTTTTCTTTTTCCAAACAACACTGCGAGAATGTTTCCTGTGGAAATATGCAACCTGTGCAAAAATAAAAATGAGTTACCTCATGTCGCTGTGTCTATGAACTTAAGACTTATTACTCTGATTCATCGGTCAGACTAAAACTACAAGAGTCATGGATAAATCACAAACGTCTGCGGAGGTTGAACTTCCTTTTTTTTTCTTTTTTTTTAAGGGGTCCACCATTTTAATGAATGTAAACGTGTGTACGTTTTGTGGTTGCTTTACAAAATAAGGTCCCAAAAAAAGGTTATTTTTCTTTTTCAAAAGAGCAACTTACTTCATTCAAAGAAATACATTGAATTAATAGTAAATGCCAGTAACCAATAAAGGAAGAAATCTCCTAAAAACTATATTAAAATGACTGTATGCTCTTTGACTTTCCATAGCAAAGATGACAGATGATTGGATGAATTATTGTTAAATGCCCAAAATCAAAAAAGGAAGAATTCTTCTTAAAGTAGAACACAAGATCACACACATATATATATATATATATATATATATATACATGCACACACACACAAAAACCACTATGAGAAGATTCTTATCTGCTTTGTGGACTCTGTGTTTCACTGTCGTAAATAAAACAAAAAATGTCAGTAAACAAGGCAATAATTGTATTGTTCAATTCAACCCTTTGACAGCATTTTTGTGTGCAGAATGGTAGACTGACAAATAGTTGTTATGACACCCAGAAGAATGTATCTTAATTGTGGATCACAAAGAGGGAAATTGTGGCTGTGGTGGAGAGGATCCAGATTAGGCAAAATGGATTTTTAACACGTGTCCCTGTAACCATATGAGCCCCACTGAGCCTCTGCAGTTCCATCCAGCTGTGGAAAGTATATGGGCCACTTAGGGGAGCTTTCCATATGGAGCTGTAAATGGACTGCAGTCATCAATACAGTCAGTGTATAACAAACAAATTCCTTGAGCAATTTTTATTTTAAAAAAAGAAAAAAATGTTCAGGTTTATTTGTGGAAATGCAAGATTTCTATAAAATAGTTTTTGTATGGAGATTTTTGTAATACTTTTTATCAACAAAATCCAAACATGCGTCTTTTTCGTCAGGGGTGTGATGCCAAGCATGAATGGTAGTGTGGATGAGCATCACCAACGTTTGGTGAGATTATTTTTATCAAATTCAAGTTCAATATAAAGCAAAGAGAATTATTTTTAAGTTCAGTATTGCTAGTTGCACTACCAGCACTGCTTCCCATGCTACACCCCTGATTTCCACTAAACTACAAACATACTGTAATGAACAATTGTGTGTAAATGGTAAAACTACACAGTCTTCTTGACCACATTGTGATAACAGTTGAAGTGCACACAGTTTCCTGTTTGAATTCAATGCACAAAATAAACATAAGCAAAATCAAAATGGAATTATCTATTTTTTTCTACTACAAAATGAAACACTATATTGCATATTTTCAGAACGTAATGTGATGATAGAACCTAAATTACATTCTAAAAAAATACAAAGAGCTAAAAGGACCTTGACAATTAAGGCAAGATTATATTTGATGGTTTAGCATTCTGTAGTAATTACTGTTGGTATATTTTAAATTTCTTCATTTTCAATTGTTTAATAATCAGTGGTTTAAAATGGTTAATGGATAATTCCAGGCAAATGCATTCATTAGCGCATCTATGTTTTACTTAGTCATTAAATGATTTAAGCTCAATTACTTAGTTACCTGTCTTTGTAATGAGTCACTACAATTGAAACTACTACAGTTGAAAGCTGAAATCAGAATTGTAGTGGAACTGTCTGCTCAATAGGAGATTTATTTGGACTTCCAAGCAGGAGAAAACACAAGGTGGATCTCACCAGCAGGGTGATGGTCACTGGAAGAAAATGGTAGGAGATGGCACAGTGACATTTAAAGCAGACCTAAAGTGTAAAGGCTTGTTAACACCATGTCCATTGAGCTGCATTTTTCTGCACAGCACATGTATGGTATGAACAGGGCACATAAAATCAAAAGTAGGCATGCAGTGCAGAAAAATGCAGCTAAATGAACACGGTGTGAACAAGCCCTAAAAGTAAACAGCCCCATACATGGCCCTACAACATAAAATAATTGGATCCCCAGAACTTCCTGGAAACAAATTGCTTAGGTTTTCTAGATGCATCTTAATCAATTAACGTTATCGGGAACATTCCTTCTTAATTTGTCCAGCCCTGGATAGGTCTGCTGACATCAATCTCCAAGAGTGATTAGGAAAGCCTTGGCAACTGGTAAATAGAAATATACTGGGGATCTAATTGGTTTACATTTATCTTCACAATATAAGAATTCTTTGCACAACCCATTGCACATTGGGTATATTTTGGGGCCATATATGGATTTTATTGTTTACGTTTTGACTTCAAGTCTGCTTTAAGGTAAAAAGGGAATACAAAATATTAGACTATGGAACTGAATATAAGAATAGAATCCATAAGGTGCCTTATTTTACCTTCAGATGATGACTGAGCAGCAGGTCACCAGGCCTAAGTTCTGTAGAGTTGGAGTTTGATTAACCATCCATTCATTTAATTATTTGTTTTCTATTATTATTAATTATATAGGTTTTCTTTCCAGTGCATCTAAAGCCAAAACTTTTTAGTTTTAGATATCGAGTAGAAGGGCTAGAACCCCAGTCAGGTAGATGTATCCTTTCTTTGGGACAGAAAGTGATGGAAAAATCAACATTTTGGAGTTGTCAGCAGAACAATAGGTAAGAGTAAATCTTCCAATGGGGACACCTGTTCCAGTGAAAAGTGTCTAAGTGAGGAATTTCCCTCACTTTGCAGAGAAACACCCTCAGTGGGACAGCAAAAATAAAAAAACTGTTTTTTAAACTCAATCTTTCAAAAACTGAGCTCATGATATTTCCTCCCCCATTGCACCTTCCCCAAAATTTTCCATTTCAATTCAACACACACATATATCCATCCCTACCTCCATGCCAAGGTGCTAGGTGTCATCTTGACTCGGACCTCATCTTTCTGCCCCACATCCAATCACTATCCAAATCCTGTCACCTTCACCTTCGTAACATCTCCATAATACAGCCTTTTTTACCAATGAAACCACAAAGCAACTCATCCACTCACCTATCTCTCGTCTTGACTATTGCAACTCCCTCCTTATTGACCTACCACTACACAGGCTATCCCCTCTTCAGTCTATCATAAATTCTGCTGCTAGACCCATCCACCTAACCAACTGCTCAGTGTCTGCAACTTCCCTCTGCCAATCCCTGCACTGGCTTCCAATCGCCCAAAGGATAAAATTCGAAATATTTAGGAGGACTTACAAAGTCATCCACAACTCTGTCCCTGGCTATATCTCCAACCCTGTCTCAAAATATCACCCTAACCGCGCCCTCTGCTTGTCCCAAGACCTCCTGCTCTCTAGTTCCCTTGTCAACTCATCCCATGCTCGCCTCCAGGACTTCTCTAGAATCTCTCCCATCCTTTGGAACTCCCAAGCATGTCAATCTATGTCGTACTCTGACTGCCTTTAGGTGATCGCTAAAGACTCATTTCTTCAGGGAAGCCTATTTCACTCCAACCTAACCACTGAACTATCGCTTTCTCAAACAACTCATCCCCACACAGCTACCACCTCTTGAATCACTTGCCCTTCCCTTTAAGACTGTAAGAGCTCACGGGCAGGGCCCTCCTTACCATATTGACATTCATTGTAACTGTAATGTCTTCTTTATATTGTAAAGCTCTATGCAAACTGTTGGCACTATATAAATCCAGTAAAATAATAATGTCCCTCATGGCAGTGCCCAGCTACTCATACCATTTTTTACCACAAGCTTACAAAGTGGTCTTGAAAAAGGACAAAAACAAATTACAAGATTCAGCCACCGTGAATCTGGGGACTTCAATGGTGTTTGGGGGTATGTTAGGGTTGGGATTTTTAAAGTGTTCATTGAACTCTCAGCAAATCAAACTTTGCTTCATTCACTCATAACTACTGGTGATATGCTCAATCAATATATTGAGAAATGCACATAAAAAAACAATTTTATGGTTTACAAATAATGCTGTTTTTTAATATGAAAGAACTGGTTCATATGTCAATTATGCCATTGACATTCTGTGTTTTCCATAAGTACAATGTCAAATATCATTCGAAATTAACTGTGTTGTTAAAGTGAAAATAAAAAAAACAGCTTTCGGTACCCCCCAATTCATACCAGACCCTTTAGGTCTGTTAGGAATTTTAGGAGGACCCATGCCAAAAAAAAAATAATGTGTAGGGTCCCCCAAAAATCCCTTACCAGATCCTTGATCTGAGCAGCAACCTAGCACAGCAGGAATGGAGGGGATGATTGTGCACCCTCCCTCTTGCACCATACCAGTTCCCATGCCTGCAACATGGGGAAGGTGTTTCACTGGGGGGACCCCCTGGCAAAGCACCTTATCCCATGTTGATGAGGACAAGGGCTTCTTCCCCACAGCCCTGGCCGGATGGTTGTAGGGGTCTGTGGGCAGGGGGCTTATCTGAATCTGGTTGCCCCCTTTTTATAAAATTTGTAAGTTTGTGAATTTGCAAGGGGTAGTTGTAACCCCCTACTTATTCACCAAATAAACATTAAGATAGTAAATAAAGACACCACACCAGTTTGAAAAGTCTTTTATTGATAAAAAAAACTCACCACACAGATTTTTACAAGTACTAATTCATAACCCCCACAAAAAAGTCCCACAATGTAAATACTTTGCCAATTACAATGCCCTCCACTTGCCGACTCAATAAAAGTCCACACCCGACGCACTCTGGCCAGAAGTGACAGCTCTGCTCCAGAATTTAAACAAAGTGGTGGAGCAAGTTGCTATGTCACTGGACTTGCTCCACCCCTTTGTTTTCATTCTGGAGCTGTCACTTGCAGCCAGAGTTCACTGGATGATGTGATTGACGATGGATTTACATTGCGGGGCATTTTTATTCGGGGGGTCATAAATAAAGGTCTTGTCAAAAACTGTGTGGTGTGTTTATTTACTATCATACTGTTTATTTGGTGAATGAGTAGGGGTAACAACTACCCCTTACTTATTCACGGGGGTGGCATCTGAGTGCCCCCTTTAGCAAAAGGGGAGACCAGATTAAAATAAGCCCCCCGCACCTGCAGACCCCCACAAACCTGGCCCGGTGAAGAAGCCCTTGTCCTCAATCAATAAGGGGGCAAGCCGCTTTGCCAGGGGCCACCCAGCAAAACACCCTCTCCTGATATGGTGCAGGGGGTGCACATTATGCCCCCTTTCCTGCTCTGCCAGGCCGCTTCACAGATCAAGGGTCAGGTAAGATATTTTGGGAGACCCTATGCATTTTTGGGGGGTATTGGGTCCCCCCTAAAACTCCTTTGAGACCTAAAGGGTCTGGTATGAATTGGGGTGGACTGCACACTGTTTTTTTTGCACACTGTTTTTTTTGTCATGGGTCCCCGATAAAATTCCTACCAGACCAAAAGGGTCTGGTAGAAATGGATGGGACGACCCATCCAAATAGATTGGAGTTGATCCAAACTGAAAATGAAAAATTTGGATCAATTTAAATTTTGAATAACAAATGGAATTGGATCCAAATTTCTTGAGCCTTTACATGTCTAAGAGTGTACAACAGTGACAGACCTATTAGGTGTAAACCAATTGTTTAATGTTTTAGCCTATTGTTAAAAATCTGTTTACACCAATTTTATCAAATGTCCATGCCTCTCAACTGTCCAGTGTAAAAAGGTTGTCTTACATTTGACTTTCTACAAGTGTAGGTATCCCCTCTGAAAAATATCACATTTACCTTTGACATTACTGACAGTCTTTATTAAATTAAATGTAAACCCTAACTAAATGACTTTAGTTTGCATTGTGTATTATAAACAATTGCCATTTTGTAAATAAAATCTTTGATTTTTCATCCTTTTTTTTGCAAACTT